TGATCCGAACTATAGTATAAAATAACAAGAGACTGATAGAATATAAACGTGCGTGCAATGAAGACAACCATCTCAGTCGTAACAACTTTGCAAAGTAAAATATTTTATTTTTGAGGTTGGCCAACAATGTTTTGAACGGTCAGAAAACAAGCGAGAGGGCAAAGAATTAGAGAGAGACGCTTGCAAACTGAGCCCACCATGCTATCCCTTCCACCATGCTCGCGACACACTCGACCGGACACGCGGCAACGCGCTTTCCTTTCCTTTTTCACGCGCCACACCTATCGCCCGTTGCGCAGTTCATTGCTATTCCGACGGTGCATCACTATGATATACACGGCCGCCCATGGCTCGCTTTTACACCGAGCACGCTCCGTGGAAAGGAGGAGCGACGCGCGACGTAGGGTATATACATACATACGTTTGCGCATATATACACGTATATTTCAGTCACGACACGAAACGTCAATCGCGTATGTACGTACGCTCACGATGTGCACGAGACTCCGGCGCGGCGTGTGGCGTATAGGTACACTCGGAGTAGTCGGGCACGTCGCGGCACTTGACCTTGAACACACGGACAAAAGTGTATAGCCTTTTGGACCTGGACCGAACTGCGCCGCGTGTTGCAACCACCGCGACGCGAAAATCTTGAGGATTTTCACGCGTCTAACATTGCGGATAATCGTAATTAACTCCGATGCGCAAAACAACGTCCAGAATTTTACCCGCGCTATATATAACTCTATAGCTTTAACACGATGAAAGAAAAACTAAATATATCGAAATTTGATACATATATTGTATAACCGCGAATTGTCAGTGCAAGCTGTAATTTATATAGTGAGATTATGTTATAGAATAATTTTCAATAGTTTAAAAAGTGGTATCTTATAGCGTTTTCGATTTGTTGACTCGATCCGACTCCGAGTCGATGGTCTGTTCTTTTTAGCTATAAAAAAAATAGTTAAAGTGTACAAGAAACGCTAAAAAGAACAGACTATTTTGACTCGGAGTCGGACAACAACTCGAGTCAACAAATCGAAAACGCTATTTAAGCTGTATCTACATCGAAGGTTGAAATTACATTAAAATTTGACCAATCGAGATAAGAGTAATAAAGATGTTTTTTATTCCGATTGGTCGAATCTAGTTACATTTTGGGGTCTTTTTAAACGGATTTGCACAACGGCTTGAAAGCACATAATATGAAAATCGACCAATCGCGTATCTAATTTGAAGGATATTTGAACAATAATTGTTGCTCTATAAGACAATTTTTGGCTGCGTCTCGTTCGCTGATGTGCTATATGATTTATCCTTGTTTTAATATTCGATAAACAAGGCTGAAATGATATTTCTGTAAAGTTAAAATGAGTGCTGTTAGCGTAGAAAACTTGAACACGGAACACAGCCCGTATGTCAAATCGACAATAAATCACGTGTGTCATTGTTTGCACAATTTCTATTTACAAGATGCAGAACATAACACGTATGATGAAACTTGCAATTTAAAAAAAATTTGGAATCATCACTACATGGTTTTTTCATTTTTTTTTACATTACCGATAATACGCAGTACTTCCCTGATCTTAATATTAAAGCAAAAAAGATATGAAGTTATTTTAAAAAAATACAATGCTTGAAATAAAATAATATATAACAATTCAACATGTATTATTTAATCTAATTAAATATTTTTAATATTAACAATTCGTACAAACGTTTAACAAATATTCTTTACCAATTATATAACTTTTTCACTTAAAAATAATTTCTCTATTTCTCTTTTCTTTAAAGAAAGAGAACATTTGAACTTCATATTTACATAATGTTATCAACAAAAAATTTGATATTACTATCAATAACTTAACATAATATTATGTAAATATTTTTATTGAGGTATTAAGATTTAATGCTCCACTTTACATATTGTATTTTATATTGAACTGTAATTTGTCGATTCTTTATATATAGAGTTATTTAACTTGCGACACTTGAATATCTTGAAAAGAAAGTATTATAGAGAAAAATATTTTAGACGAAAGTTGTTCAGTTTTAATCGACTAATATGATAGGATAGTCAATTGGACTTTGGGATGCAAGGGCAAGATCAGAGCAAAGCACCTCCACTTTCTTAAATAGAAACCTATTTTTAAATAGAAACTTATTTTTTATTATATATTTTTAAATCTGACTTTGTGGTGTTTTCAAAAAGATATTTTAAAACTCTTTTCTATTAAGATATGTATCACTAATATAATAACGCTAAATTTGTATGTGATTTTGATCTAGTCTTGCCGTTGCCTCCCTAGATCAAACTGACTATCATATTAGCCCTTCGAAATTGAAAAACTTTCCTCTGATACGTTTTTCACTAAAATGTTTTCTTTTCACGATATTCAAGTGTCTCAAATTAAATGACTCGTATATGCATTATGCAAGATTGTTTTTACTAAATTCTCAAACAAATGCTTCATACACTTATTGTAAAATACATTAGTTAAAAACATGTAGCTTATTTTTTGTCATGTTAATTTTTGTTGTATTATCTTGTTAAGCTTATATTTATTTGAAAAACAATTAGATTACAGATAAATTCATCAAGTCAACAAAATAAATATTATCTATACTCAATAATTTCTATAAATATCTCTTGTCATCTTTGTAATCGTACTGTCCTTAAACATGGCTGGCCATACCTATTTTTGGCCTCTTCAAGGAAGGCGTTCTCCATTTGCCGCACAACATCATTGAAGAATAAATTTAACAGATGAGAATAAATGACGGATTTGAATTCAAAGGACAAAGAGAAGTCAATCACGCATGTTTCTGGATTGTTTTTCAGTCCAGGATTGAACAACCACAGGGTATCCAAATGATCGAACAATCTACCGTCCTTACATTCGGCTTTAACTATCCTCGGATATATTGTAGTCACCGTTGAAGTATAACTCTCGTTTATAGGCGGGAACCCAATTACTAAATTAGCCTTCAGTAAATCTTTGGTTTTCAAAGTAATTTCAGATTTTTTGCAAAAGGGTAAAAAGTTTTTGTAATTTTCAACATCGGCAACGACGTGGTACATTTTCTCCATTGAAAAGCTAAATAACAGAAATTTGATTACTTTATAATAATACATATATACTCTGTAGCAAGAATATATAATTTATAATATGTATATGAATCAATAAAAATAATATGTCAAAATATAAAAATAGTGTATAAAAAAATATATATAACTTATAGTAAACATCGTGAAACATTGTTTAATATATTATTTAGAGAAATATAAAACAGCAAATTAAAATGAAAACAGATTGTTGAAAAATTTTTTCTTATCTATTTTTATTACCCCACCAACATGCGACCTTCGTACTCTCTGGTTTTATAACTTGCTCGTGTTCTGTACATTCGCCACAAGTTCCGCTTGGAAGAATCATATTTCCATGGCAATGACAATTGTGTCACGACGAGCGCGTGCCTAAAATGTTTTTACAAACGTATAATAAATAATATTAAATATATATTTCATTTAAATTGTTTAACTTAAATTATTCTCCATAACCTAACCTAACCTCCACGATCTCAAAAACATTATATACAATTTTGCAGCAAAATTACCTGAAAGCAACATTACCTGTGCATGTCGAGTGTAAAATATTAAATTTTGCCGCAACGTCTGACAATGTGCGTTCAACTTTGGCATTTGGCATGTCAAAATTTCATAACTTAAAAATTGAACCAACGTTCCATTGAACCATTCTAGGTTTAACTTTAATTATTATCGATGATAAATTGACAATAACTTAACAATAACTCGAGACGATATCATTCGTAATCATAATTTTTTTTTTTTGTTTATGTAAACAGTACACTTAAAAAATTCACAATTTTTACGGCGTTCATAAAGCTGGTGCTTCATGCAGACACCGGCTAAAGTTCAACACCGAAAACGGTGGATCACGATGGAAGGATGAGGCCTGTTCTTTTTAGCTGAACCGGCTGCACTAGTTCGCAGTTTATCTTTCTCTTTCTACATTGGGAGAAGAAAGAAGAATTCTGAACTGGTGCAGTCAAGTTCAGCTGAAAGAACCAGGCCTACGATTCACGTGCTCCGGCCCTAACATCGGTCGCAGGTGGCGCGTTTTCAAAATGGCGTAAATCGAACGTGAAAACGTAAACATTGGATCTCGATAGAGGGATAATAAAGCGAGGGACAATTAAAAGTGTAAAAAAAAGCGCTGTCGAAGTTAAATGTAATTTCGAGAGCAAGCGAACGCGCGACGATGATAATCCGGAAAAAAGTGTGGCCGCGGACTGTCAGCGATCTGCTGTCGATGGCCTTCGTGCTGGCCATAGCGCCTCTCATGTACTGGTTCGGATTGTGGATAATATTGCCGGGATTGTACGGGGACGAGAACCTGGCGTACAAGCTCCACTTCGTCCTCGGTAGCTTCATCATGTTGAATATCGTAGGTAACTTCACGTACACGGTGCTGTGCGACACCGGCGTCGGCGGGCGCATAGTGCCGGTGAGCACCGCGACGGTGGCGGACGGGTGGAGGCTGTGCGCGGTCTGCGAGTGCCTCGCGCCGCCCCGCTCCTGGCACTGCAACACCTGCGACACGTGCATCCTGAAGCGCGACCACCACTGCGTGTTCACCGGCTGCTGCATCGGCTATTACAATCACAGGTACTTCGTCATGTTCCTGTGGTACCTGTTCCTCGGCTCGGCGTACGCCTTCTCCTACGGCAGCCTCTTCATCTGGAGCCGGGTACCCTTCGAGTTTCCGATGTCCATCGTCAAGATGGTCTTCCCCGTGGCGATCTTCTTCTTCGGCTTCGACAGCTCCATCGATCAGTTTTACATGCTGCTGTACGTCGTGTCGGTGGTGGGCACCCTGTACACCGGAGTGCTGTGCGTTTATCACTTCAATTTGATTCTCAGAGGCGTCGTGGGCAACGAGAGCAACAAGAGAGACTTCACGTACGACGTCGGTTGGAAGGACAATATTAGGGAGGTGTTTGGCGAACGGTGGTATCTGACGTGGTTGCTTCCTTACATAAAGTCGCAGTTGCCCCACGATGGAGTTTCATGGTGTCATTTGTGTTCGAAGAAAGATTAAAGTTAAACTACGATTGAGCGCTGTGATTCTTCTCTAAACTATGAAATGTGTTAAAAGCAAACATTTAGTGTCTCTGTTAAAAAAAAGGTATCGAAAGATACCTTGATGGCCAAAGAAGAAAGATGGAATTTCAACAATTAGGAAAAAAAGACTACACTTTTTTAAATCAAAAGATACTAATGGATATACTCATTGAAATGATTAATTAATACTTCAAAGCGTATCTCTATTCCATATAATTATTACTGTCAATTTGTAAACAAGATTTATATTGAACATACAGTATTACATAATTTTAATCGCACATACACAAATCAACGTGTATTTCTTTGGCACAACATCTGAAATTATATTAACATTATTAATTATTAATATTGTCTCTTTATGTTAAAGTTGAATGAACGCAAAAAATTTTTCAACTTCTGATTTTCTTAATTGCCTAATATTTTATTTTTTGAGAAAAAATTAGATTAATCATTTTAATATTTTATAAAGTGTGTCGATATATTTTTATCGTTTTTAAACACAACAAAATATTTAAATTGTATATTTAATTACGCATTTAGTTGTATATTATATTTTATTAAAAAACTGTACATAAAGACAAGCTTATAATACACATAATCAATAAAAGAAGAAATAATTTTTCTCGGGTGCCTATTTACAAATTAAATACAAATTATAAATTCTATAAAAGATCGGCTTTCATTGGAGTATACAGATATTTGTGACTTGGAGATCACAAACATATCTTTCATACAATCTCTGATTACTCAAGTTTGCAATTATCAACTGTAAGAGATTACTTTATACGATTTGACATCTTATTTCCTTAATATTTAATTAAATATCAACAGTTATTATGTGTATAATTCTTTTTTCTCATCTGAACACCTGCTAGTTTACCTGCCTTAAACGGTGTAAAGTTTACATATAAAAGTCTAAATCATCATAAAATATATAAAAGGAAGGCGTATAAACAATTTAGGAAGCATGAATTAAGCTACAGAATAAAATAATAGATCTATCTTTCGATATCGGATATTTTATACCAATTGATTAATTGTATTAATTTTATACTGTTTATGATTTTCGATATAGTATATAATAATGATAATAATAATAATAATAATGTACTTCCAATAAAACAATCTTATTTCACGAATCATCAGTCATGTCGCACAGGTTACCAAGTAAAGAAGATGCTAGACACTTGCGTTTGTATACTATCTTTGATGACATGTGATTTCATGATAATTATAAATGCATACATTTTCTAATGCGTCACAGCAAGATGATGAGATAAAATTATTCTACGTACATATAGTGATATTAAATAATTGAATATATTTTATGAATATACTTTTACTTGATTCATTCTTATTTATTATTATTATCAGACATATACTTATGTTTCTATATTTTGTACAAGACGATCTCTAAATAGAAATCGCTTCATGGAAACTGATAGTAAAGAGATATATTCTTTGGACGAGTTTAAGGCAACATTACAAAATATAATCGCTAGTTCAAAAGGATTTGGGAAAAAGTTTTAATTATTATTCAGGAATTAAATTTTTATTAAAAATAAAATCGCGAATATATCAGTGATTCCTACTTTAGGAGTATTCTGTATAAAATACATGTACTGTTTTTTACTGATAAAAATTTCAATTGATATAATCCATAAAAAATTATCCGACTTTATCGAACGCTTTCCTTCTGAAGTGAATGTTTTCATTTTATTTAGAGCTTAAATTTATTTTGATTTCTTGGATATTATGTATCGATACTACGCATTTCGCTACTGGCCTGCTTTAACGCAGAAAAATTCTTGAATTGCAATCGCCCAAATGCAAATTCGACTCTGGTCATCGTTGGTATAAATCAATTATAACTGGAAGATCACAACCTAAGAATTGGCGACTCACTGTTCTCTCTCGGAATTCAAGTGCCTGAGTGGATACTTGCTGGTCCAGGAATGTTTGCGCGCACAGAGCACAAAATATAAGAAAGAAAATTTATACTTTGGGCAGTAGATTAATATGGCCCTTTTTCTTATATGTCCTCTTAACGGCGAACTTGATGCATACCAGCACGAGTATTGCGGCCGAGGTAACGTACAGCACCACACAAATACTGATGTCGAATACGTTCAAGTCCCAACCGAAAGCCGTGGCGTGCTTCGTCTCCTTGGCGAGTCTCTCCGGCCTTACTCTCGAGCCGTTGCCGTTGGTCATATCTACGTCGCGGTCGTGGAAATCGTCGATTCCATCGAACTTGATGCCACTGTAGCTGTACTTGATTTTCAGATATCGCAAAACCTCCTCCTCGTTCCAGCTATCGTTCGCGTGCCTACACGCCGGGCAGTGCTCGGCCGCGGGATATTGTATCTTCCGGTGCTCGGGATCCTCCGTGTTGTCGCCCGACAATCGGGCGTTCACCTGATTGTGCGCCCGCCACAGCCAGAGCGCGGCCTCGTCCCTGCTACGTACGTCGAACATCCCATTCCTGTCGGCCATCTCCACGAAATGCGCGGCGCAGTCGGCGCAACCGAAGAAGGTGCCGATGTAGCCGTGCATCGCCCGCAGTATCGCCGCGGGGTCCCGCGAGAGAGCCCGAGTGACGTCCCTGTCCCTGCGCTCCAGCGCGAAATTCACGGTCAACATGTGAAACATCGTCCACAGGCCGCAGGGATATCCGCGATACGAATCCGCGCTCCCCCTGCATCCTATCCACCGACGGGGCGCGCCCGAGTACACCGGCGACATCTCCTCCTCCGTCGTTTTCGCCAGCTGGCTAAACTCCTCGCCGGTCGTGGCGCTCCTCCTCTCGACGACGTCGCGCATCACCTCTAGATAGACGTTATTACGTCGCAGAGGGAAGTACGCCGCCAGTACCGCGAGATATTTCTGCAACGCCTTCATTTTCTCACCGTCTATCGATTTCATCAAGGATATCTCGTGATTGATCGAATAACGCAACGCATTCTCCAGATCAAGCTGATACACGTAATCGTCGATCCTCTTCGACGACTGCAGCTGCTCCTCCACCACTTCGTGGCTCTTCGCAATCGCCGCGATCGTTGTTCGACGTGTGTTTTCCGTAATTTGCACAGTATTACGCGACACCGCCGTCGTACGCGCCTCATCGACATTCACTCCTCTCGCGATCACGTAATCTTTGATAGCCCGTCGAACCCCCTGTCTCGTCGGTATTCTCACGCTGACGACCCTCTGCGACTCGTTACGTCCAAAAGCTATCAAAGTTGGGAACTTGGTAACCTTGTTCATTACGCACAGCAGTTCATTGTCGGAGGTCACTCGGCGTATCTGCAGGCCGCTGATCTTATGAAGATCAAGAATTACTTCCGCGCCCAAGTTCGAATCCGTGCTCTCGAAGATCAAGAAAAAATGTTTCACACTGCTAGATGCTGTTTTCCATATGTCCGTTATTTCGACGTTCCTGCAAACGAATAGGATGTATTAAAATAATTAAAAGATACATTAAAATACATCAATTTTTTAATACAAAAGTAAGATGCGTTAATAACAAATTCTATCAATAAATCTAAATAACATTTTATCAAAAAATTTTATTTAGCCCTTATTATAAAAATACTTAAGTTTTTCTATTTTAAATAAAAAAAAATTAAATTTTATTTAACGCGATATATACGAGATGTGATTAAAAGATATGGTGAATGTTGAAACAAAACAGAAACTTATTACATTAAAAGACAAATTACAATTAATCCCCTTCAAAATACTCCCCCTCGCTTCTAATATACTTATCCTATCGTTCTTGTCACTTGCTAAAGTAGTAGTGAAAGTTCTCTTTTATAATCGAGGCAGCCACGACAGCGCAACTGAAGGCACTTATGAAAGAAGACTTCCAGTACTGCTTTGGCAAATAGCAAGAACGATAGGATAAGTATATATATATATATATTAGAAGCGAAGGAGAATATTTTGAAGGATACTAATTGTAATTTGTTTTTTAATGTAACAAGTTTCTTTTTATTTCAATATTTACCTTTTTTTTTATTACACCTCGTATTTTATTTATTATTAAATTATAAGTATTATTAACAAAAGGTCTTTATTAAAAATTTTAAGAAGAAAATATCAACTTTCTCTTCTTCACATGAGTTTGACATTGAGTATTTATGAAACAACTAGTACAAATTTTAGCAATTAAAAGGATTAAAGGAAAAAAATGTATTGGTTGATTTATTCACAATCACTAAAGAAAAAATTTTTTTTTTTAATTTGACTTTTTCACAAACGTTAAATTTTATTATAACTTTGATAATACATATAACTCAAAGATTCTAATAAATATAAAATAAGTACAAATAAATTTTATAGCATTTTTTTATAGTATTTTTTATAATATTTTTTATAGTATTTTTTTTTATTTTGATTAAGTAATTGAAATTTGAATACATAAATCATTTTTAAAAATCATGAAAAATTATGAATTATATATACGGCTTTGGAGAACAAAAATGAATTTTTTGTTTACAATCATAACAAGAAGGTATCTAGGAATTAACTGTGGAAAATTTATGACATACCTGTATGGCGCAATGTTAGGCCATGTAGATCCTCTTCCTTCCTGTTGCTCCGTTTCGAGCCTACTAATTAAATTACTTCTCACCGAATCAACGCTATCCCCCTTTTCTATCACTACACCCAAGGACGGTGGACGTGCGTTTATGGAGAAATATTTTAACATTGGATAGTGCATGATCTCGTACTCGCGACAGATCGGATTGTTATCGTCGTCGGCACAGTCTATGGCCGCAACGACAACAATATCATTCCATGCTGAAATATTGTTTTTATTCATCATTATTATTATGTGTCTACAGATAAAACTAAATAAATTATTTCGTTATATTATTTTCTATTCTATCCAAATTAATTCTTAGGAAAGATTATTTAAACATGCAATTTTACAAACAGTTTATATATACACTTTTTTTACTATTTGCTTGCTTAATGGATAACTTACGTAGGATATCGCTTGCTAAAGCCTTCCATGTCGGTGCAAATCTGTAACAAAAGCCGCACCAGCTATTGTAAAACTCGACTAGCCAGCTCCTGGTGCTCCCGTAAACGCTTGCTTTGAAATTTGTGGCATTTAGTATCACTACATCATCGCTGGCATTATACAAGCCTTGACCACCTAGGCTAATTAAACTTTGATACTGGTCTTTATGAGCTACTGCAGCTGCGCTGCTCCAATTTATCATTAGAATGTTGAGTAGCCACAATCTCAGTACAATTCCTGTTACTTCTAGCTGTTCCATCTTGCGCCTTCGATAACTGACATTAGAATCCAACCACTCCCCTTTCTCTACAATAGTACAATATCAATTGATCATTAAAATGACGTAATAAATATCATATTAATATGCATTATGTAGCTTTTGCTACAACATTTTGGTACTATTCTCTCAGTTTTAAACATTACAACACTTTTGAGGTGTCAAACAGTTACTAAGAATCGGTAATTGTTACGCAGTGATTTTGATCTTCTTCAAGAAATTAATAAATCACAATCAGCATTACATGTATATTTTTAAACCTTTTTGGCTAACAAACATTTGGCTGAAATAAAGTTGAAATGTCAAATGTTCAATTATTTCCATAGCATTGTCCAAAATCCACTGTGCAACAATCTTGCTGATTTCTAGTAGACATAGAATCACTTCTAGTTTTTTATATTACACATCCAAAGACTCTTTTAAATAAAACTAAGAAAATATTAATCCAAGAATTAATTGTAATTGAAAATAAAATAATAGAATATAAATATCTCGCAATATGATAATAAACAATATATTCATTATTTTCTATATGCAGTATCTATATTTACTGCTATATATTTTATATCTGACAAACTAAACTTCAGGAGAAAAAATATACGGTAATCATATCCTTCAGAATTAATTTTAATAAATTTTAGCAAAATTTTAATTCTGAACTTATAACAAAAGAGATAAAAAAAACTAAGACTATTTTTCTCATAGACGTTCCTATAAAAAAATAAGTTGATCAAAACAACCGGTGATTTTGGTAACATATGCGATATCTTACATAGGTATATTATTTCCAAAAATAATTAAATACAAAATTTGCTCTTATCACAGGATTAATATAATCTGAATTTTAAATAACAGAGAAAAATCCACTGAACTTCTCAAGCAAAACTCACATTCAATTTCCATGCAATGGATAAAATAAAATTTCTTTGTATAAAATGCAGGTTAAAAAACACCGGACATTCCGCGGAACTTAGAAACTCCACTAGAATAACTGAAACAACTTGCGAGCAATGTCATTTTATATGATATGCAATGAATAGGCATTTAACGTGCCGATAGGTGCAATTTGATTTATCTACATAGAAAAAAAAAAATTACTGTACAAGTATCAGTACCTTTCTATGACGTATTATCTCGTATCTTTCGACAGATACGTTCCCAGTTGGCCGACTCGTCGAGCAATATGAGATCTCGTCGGTGCCACCTTAACATTAGAGGGAGTAATTTATTAATTTACATTGATGCACGTACGTATATCGTATACATGGCACCGATCACGACGTGATCAAACATAACCTGACGTTTAACGACACTTCTAACGTAATGCTCAATTTAACACTAGTGTGCTGTGTCTAGCGTGCGAGAGAGAGAGAGAGACTGCGAGAGTAGCGCGAGGCGCGAGCACAGCTGTGCGAACTGCAAGTATGCGTCGTGCGCGTGTCCAATGTCGTGACGTATATTATACACAAGGTCCGTTCTTTATAGCCGCGCTGGTATTTTCTGCCATTCGAAACGAGACAGGTATACATATACACGATTAGACGTTGAGAAAAAAAAAAGATAAGTAATTTCTTCTTTACAGCTGATAGCGTTTTTGGAGTCGGGGCGATTATAATGACGTCACATGCTCTCATTTTAGATTTCTGATTGGACGAGGCGAGCTTGTGACGTTGTTAATCGCTCTCAGAACACGGTATAAAACCCGTATTCCGTCCGAAAACGCTATTGTCTGCAGCTATAAAGAACGAATTATATAGATTTGTTCTTTACAGCTATACATACCCTACATTACGAAATATTCACATAGTAGAAAAGCAGTTTGCAACAAAAGCAGGAAGCTGTTTTTAAATTTTCTGCATATTTTATTGATTTTTACATTATAGCAACTCTGCTTTTTATTAATGAAAAAGATACAATTTTGTGCACTTTTTTTAATCTGTTCGAATATTTCTGTGAAATTATGGAAGTAGAATATATATATTGGGCAGCTGTAATTTTTGGGATTGGTTCTAATAAAATTAAACATTTTTTTAATTTTTTTTCGTTTTTACTACAATTATAAATTCCTAATTCATTACTATTACATTTCATGTCTATTTCAATCCCGTGAAAGGATATTTCAATTCCGTTGAGTCAAATTCAGCGAGATATTCATATATATATATATATATATTATACTTACCTACTGCAAATTGTTCCTTCCTTATTCCTTTACGAAATTAATCACTATATGAATTATATTTCCCTTAAATAATATGTATATATATATAAAACTGTGTATAATGTCGGTAATTCTGACCTTGCTTTTATTGCCGTAGAAAATAGATAAAATAAATTAATAAATTAATTTACAAACTAGGAGAAACATTAAATTTTTAGATATGACATTATATATATATATACAATTCTGATAGAATAACAATTTAATTTTTTTTTTTTTTTCATTTATTACATATCGCAGCATTGTTGCAATAGTGTCAATCTCGAAAATTGACAATGTTGAATTATTCATCACCAGATAAAAGTATATAGCCTACACGCCAAAATCCATCTTTTCCAATGA